CGCCCCCGCGTGCCCCGCGCCCCGCCACCGCTCGCCGAGGCCTGCCGCCGCAGGACACCGCCGCCTGCCGCCTAGATCCGCCGCCCACGAAAGAAGGTTAGTCGGGAGAGGGAGTCCCACCGCCGCCGCCGTCTGCCACGCGGGTTTCACCCGGTGGCGTCACCCGGCGGCGGCGTGAGGGGAGAAGGAGAGGGCGGCGGCGGTGCCTAGGGTTGGAGGCCCCCGAGTCGCCCAGGGCAGGGGCGACGCGAGGGACGCGATGGACACGCCGATGACAATTTTTTTAATCGTCTTAGCCGTTTTATTTCACAAGAGAATAGTCCTACAAATCAAGTATAGTTTATTTCCATAAATTGCATGTGCACAATGTAAACATGTCCCGCAAGAAGCTATAACCGTACCTTAGTTTGCGTGACCAACCCTTCCTTTTCTTTAACCGTAGCCGTCACCCCTCAATATCCTAGCCGTTTTCATCTATAAAATCATCGCTCCCCCACATCCTATAGTCTCTACGACGTTGTGAGGTTGGAGGAGGCTGAATATTTTCCTTGTGTTTTTAGTGTGTCGTGGTTCGTTGTGCCCGCTATAATACATCGGCTTGCGTAATAATTGTCCTTCTCCTTAGGGTATGTGTTTCACGTTAACCCGTGGTTTCAAATCGCAAGGTCTGGTCAACCATGGCATGACGTTCCTTAGCTCTTCTGGACTCGACGGGTATGTGACATGCATCCTGGTTTTCTGGAGTGATGACAGCATGTCTTCTCCTTGTCAAAGCTCGGACGATGCTACGACGAATGTGCAAAGACTTTCTTCTTCTTCTTCTTCTTCTGATTGTACCTCATACGGTGGGCTTCTTTCGTGGTGAGGACTTTGTGTTCTGCTTCGGCTCGAGCGGGAATTCAAGAGTTTTGATTTGATGAAGTAATTGGTATGTTTGATCGTGGACAGAGGTGCGTGGAAACTTGCTATCCATGTGCCAGAACCATGAATTGGTTGCAAGATTTTATGGGTTTCACCTTTAACCTATCCCAACTTATTTGAGACTAGACGCTTTGTTGTTGTTGTTGTATTGGTGTCGTAGTTTTACCTCTACCTCTAACATCACTTTTTTTTTCTTTCAAAAAGGAGGATAACCCTGGCCTCTGCATCGGCCGATGCATGCAACCTGTTTTAACATCACTTGGCCTCCATGATTCAATTTTCCTAGCTCCGACACCACCTACAGGTTTCCTTGTTGAAAATGAAGAAGGGGAAGCTATGATCGGAACAACCACAGTGAAGAGTTTCCTACCCTTGCCTCTGCTCATAAGCTCATTATACCGGCCACCACTTGGCAGAGGAATCTCATATGCGTAACATGCACGTCAAGCAAAGGGACCGTCTTGTTTTCCCCTAAACTCCTGTCATGATAATCTCACCATCAGTTAGCACTCAGCGGTCATGGGTAATATCTCTCTCTTTCTTGTTTGTACTACTCCCGTCTCATAACATAAGAGCGTTTTTGACACTACACGGAGTATGTGCGCGTGCAATTCTTTTTTCCCATCCGGCGCAATGAGACAAACTTTGTACTACTAGTGAGGATCGAAGGCAAAATTGACAGATTTGATCTATAGACGAAATCAAATCACAGAATAAACTGCCCGTGAAACCATTTCACGTGGCTGACCTTTTTGTGTGACGCCGGACACAAAGACGCCACACCACACTGTGCAACGCCTCACAGATAGGTGCTACACGCCTGGCCAGCGTCGCACTCGTGTGATCCGGAATTTGCTAAGTCAGTGTGCAGCGCCTGAATACAGTGTGGCGCCTAGCTTCTAGGCGTTGCATTAGTGGTTACTTCATTTTATAGTGCAACCATTAATGCAGCGCCTGAAAGTTAGGCGCCACACTATACAGTGCAGCGCCTATCTCTTAGGCTCTGCACAATGACTTAACAATTTTTAGACAGTCTGGGGTGCAACGC